CTGGCGCGGCATGACATAACCGCCCTTGGACTGCACGCACGGTCGGACGATGTCGGACGTGGCATGCCATCATCGCCTTTGGGTTGCACAAACGGTCAAACAACGTCAGGCGTGGCATGACATCACCGCCCTTGGATAGCACACACGGTCGAACGACGTCGGGCGTGGCATGACATCATCGCCCTTGGACTGCTCGAATGGTCGAACGACGTCGGGCATGGCATGACATCACCGCGTTTGGACAGCACACACGGTCGGCAACGTCGGGCGTGATATGCCATCACTGCGCTTTGACAACACATACGATCGAATGACGTCGGGCGTGACATGCCATCACCACCTTTGGACAGCACACACGATCGGTAATGTCGGGCGTCACTTGACATTATCTCCCTTGGACAGCACACATGGTCGGACTACGTCGAGCCAGGCATGACATCACCGCCATTGGACAACTCACTCGGTCGAACAACGTCGGGTTTGGCACATCACCGTTGGGCAGCAAACACGAACGAACAATGTCGGGCATGGCATGATATCACCTCCCTAGGACTTCACGCACGGTCGGACGATGTCGGGCGTGGCATGAAATCACCACCCTTGGACTGCAAACACGGTCGGCAACGTCGGTCGTGGATTACAATCACCGCCCTTGGACTACACGCACGGTTGGAGGACGTCGGGCGTGGCATGACATCACCGCCCTTGGACAGCACAGATGGTCGGCAACGTCGGGTGTGGACGTCAAAAGTGGCATTACATCACCGCCCTTGGGCAGCAGACATGGTCGAACTACGTCAAGCGTGGCATCGCATCACCGCCCTTTGACAGAACACAAGGTCGAATGACGTCGGGCATGACATGCCATCACCGTCTTTGGAAAGCACACACGTTCAAACAACGTCGTGCGTGGATTAAAATCACCGCCCTTGGACTACACGCATGGTTGGAGGACGTCGGGCGTGACATAACATCACCGCCCTTTGACAGCACAGATGGTCGGCAACGTTAGGTGTGGCATGCCATCACCGCCCTTGGATATCACACACAGTCACACGACGTCGGGCGTGGCATGACATAACTACCTTGGACAGCACACACAGTTGAATGACGTCGGGCATGGCATGCCATCATCGCCTTTGCGCAGCACACACACTCGAACGACATTGGGCATGGCATGACATCATCGCCTTTGGACAGCACACACAGTCATATGAAGTCGGGCGTGACATGCCATTACTGCTTTTGGACAGCACACATGGTCGGACTAGGTCGGCAACATCGGGCGTGGCATGACATCACTTGCATTGGACAGCACACACGGTCGGACTACGTCGGGCGTGGCATGACATCACCGCCGTTAGACAGCACACACGGTAGGCAACGTCGGGCGTGGCATGTCATCACCGCCCTTGGACAGCACACACGGTCGGCAATGTCAGGTGTGGCATGACATCACCGCC